ACAGACAAATAAGTCTCCTCTGCTTTTACGGGTAAAATCACAAGACACTGAATGAAGCTATACGAACACACAAACAGACACTGACAACTGATTAGTCAAATGACAAAACTGGCATCTCCATTTCCTTTGATGTGTCATTCATCTTTCAAATACGTTTCCAAGTAAAAATGCTATGAAAGCCCTGGTTCCAGGCCGTGACTTCTTGTGGTGTCGGAATAAAAATAAAAACAAAGTTCCAATTGCAAGTTGGCAATATCAACTTAACTTTGAGAGTTTGTTTAATTTTTACTGTTGTATTAGAGGGTAACTAATAGTTGCTGTTCATATAGTGACCTAATTAGAAATGTTAGCACTTACCAACAACCACAGTTATAAACTTACCTATACCAGGCTATATTTGCTAGCAGTAACTAGCAAGTTGTTAGCTAGCAGCTAACACAAAGCTCAGTATAAGTTATGATTGTGTTCTTTGAACTTCTATTTAATGTAATAAATGCTCATACAAAAATCTTTACTCACTTTGTATCATCCTCAGAAGCTGCTTTACTTGCCAAAATCAGCTTTTTGTGTCTTAGACTTCTCCAAAAAATCATCTAAAACAAAATAATTTGTACCTGATAACACACAGACTGCTTTCTCTATAAAAAAAAAAAAAAATCATGTTATGAATTTACACGCTCATGGTACAAGGAGGAATTTAGGATTAACCAACATCTGGAACTGTCCATTAACTCCAGGCAGTATTTCTGGCATCCTCAGTGTTTCTTGCTTGGAAAATAAACAGCAACATGTGTTGGTTTGTGTCATTATGTCTGTCTGGGATCTGACTGCATTCAGTTCAGATTATTTGCTGCATATTCTTCTGATATGGTAGTCATTTAAGACAATATAAGCAGGAAGGAGGTCTTCACTGTCGTCCAGTGTTTGGGGTGCATGGATATCACAATCTGATGACTGATGTAATGGAACTAAATGGAAATCTTTCTTAAATACCACAACAGAACCACAGTCCAACTAGGCAGAGGGAATGGAAATGTGGGCAGAGTGAGCTGTTAGATTTTGAGGACCCAGCCATTGTGGCTTTGGCTTCAGCTGAAGGAGGAAACAAGGACACTCTTGTCCCAAACAGAATTAAATATGGAGGCATATAATCAAGTAGGATGTTAATGCATTTCTCTTTAGCTCAGAAACCAGAATATTGCTTAATGGAATCATCTTTTACACAGAAACAGCTTCACTGGGAGGTTTCTATATAATATAGTTTCACTGTGGCAAGAGGTGACAGATGAGCAAAGAAAATGGTTAAGGCATCTGGCTAATGGCATATTTAAATGTACAAGTCACGCCTTGATTTTCTGGGTGAAGGTGGAGCATGTGCTCCTCCTGAAGTAGCACATGGAAAGGGGATATTGTGGCCTCTGACTGGTACAGCTGAATCCTGGCTAGAGAAGCAGACATCTGACTCCCAGATGCTTCAGACAGCCTCTTATGTGTAGCCAAGACTAGATTCTCCTAAGACAAAACACACAGCCCGTTTTTTCTCTTTTCTTTTCCCTCTCTTTGTCTCAGCCGACTTCTAACCTCAAATTTAATTATCTCAGGCTTCTTAGCACGTCGTGTTAAATGCGCACAACGCATACAAATACAGACATATGTAAAAGGCATTAGAATATGATCCATCTCTCTCTCTGTCTCAAACCATCTCCAGTCCATTCATCTTACACTTTGGTTTGCTTCCTCATTTTTCTTAGTCTCACACACACTTTCCCCCACATTACTAAAGCCACACTTTTTGACAACTTTTCCAATTTTCCTAAGTGAGCGGCCACAACTCACTTTAGAAATATACACACACAAACAAATATAAAGAGACAGACACTTGGCTAACCTGTTTGCAGTGTAATGACTCGCCGAACACTTTGAGACTGCGCCCCGAGGCTTTGAATGTGCAGACAAGCCGATCTGGGAAAAGGTTCTGCTGTGGAGATGTTTGTTAGCTGAGTTCATGTACATGTCCCATCTGTGTTTGCAATTTATTTTAATGCAGTTCAGCCACTTGGCTCGTTTCATCAGCTGATTTACTGACTGTTAGTGCACCGTGCGCAGCACAAATCCAATTTATATTTGAGTCTGTACATGAGACACAGACAGAGATAAGTATGAGACCGTTTTGTCCTTTATTTATGTGCGTGTGTGTGTGTGCCTATGGCGTGTGAGTTCCCCTGATTTAATATCCAAGTGCATTCACTGTGCATCTTCTGAGACGCTTTGCGAACATTAGTAAACACCGAACTGTCAGAAGATATATATTCAAATTTATTTTCAGTGACTGAAATATTCTAAACCACAGATGCTGACAAAGCAGCTTCTGTAATTGTTAAAAGAAAGAAGGGTCAGCATGTGTGACTGTCAGTCGACTGTGAGACAAAACTGTGTGTGATAAGAGCTGATTTGCATTTGAGACCAAAAAGTGGTGTTTTTTTT